AATTCACCTACCTCTTTGGACATTCGTTTCCTCGTTTGAAGATGAAAAGTCATATAACTCACTACCTTATACTTTTTAATCACTACAGCCTTTAATAGGACTCAAACTTGATGATTGATGAATCAAAATTCTATGAGTATAAATCTATAACAAGAGTGAAAAACCAAACCCACACCTGATGGCAATGTGGGTCAGCAGCAACAGTTCTTTCCTTCATTTTTCATATTTCCAGCCATACCATGTAAAGTTGTGAAGAGCAGCGTGTCTTATACACAGGTAGTAGTGCTACTGTTGGAATGTTAGCTTACAGATTTTAAAAGGTGGTCATTTGATAACCATCTTTAGGCTGCAACTTCGACGGTGCAGTTACAGTGAGAAGCTTATGCCTGGTCAGCAGGACAATTGATCCACTTACATAGAAGGAATTATATATACCTTGTCCATGGTTTACTGCTCTATCAGTGGTTCTTAAACTGTGGTCCAGGGAGCCCTGGTGGCCCCTGCAGGGCATCCAAGAAGTCAAAAACTACTTTGCTAGTAACATTAAAATGTCACTTGTCTTTTTCATGCTCATCCTTTCATCGGTTACAGTACAGTTTTCCAGAGGATACATGATGTGTGATATCACTACAGTTTGAATGAAGAAGCAGATACATGAACCCAACTATCTATAAAGCCAGACACTAGAAAGACCTACAAAACTGTGGGGGAAAATTGCCACGCTTCTCACTCACTCTTTTGCTTCAGGAAATTTTATATATATATATATATATATATATATATATATATATATATATATATATATATAATTTATATATTTTATATGTATATAAATATCAATAGGCATAACTATATACATAGATCTTTGAGGTCCTTGATTTTTTTCTAGAAATATGAAAGTGTTATAAGACATTTGTGAACTGCCTCTTTGTATTAATGAAGGCATAAAATAAACACAGTTGTCCTTTGATACCATAAAGGACTGGTTCAGGGCTCCCTGAAGATACCAAAATTCATGATGCTAAGCCTCTTTATAAAATGACATAGTATTTGCATATAATCTATGTACATTTCCCCATATACTTTAAATCAACTCTAGATTACTTACACCTAATACAATGTGAATGCCATGTAAATAGTAGTTATACTATATTATTTAGGAAATAATGACCGGAAAAGCCTATACACATTCAGCATAGATATCGCCCACCTCCACCAAATGTTTTCCATTTGTAGTGGTTGAATTCACAGGTGAAAACTCTCAGTGGTCAACTATATACGCCAAATGTAAGGCATATATCCCTTAATGATGGGGATACATTCTGAGAAATGCATGAATAGGTGATTTTGTCATTTTGTGAGTTTCACAAAATATACAAACCTAGGCTACATGGTAGTCTATTGCTCCTAGCAAACAAACCTGAGTAGCATGCCACTGTACTGAATAGGCAATTACTAGTACTTAGAGTAAGCACTTGTGTATTTAAACATAAAAATGGGACAGTAAAAACACCATGTTGTCTTGTGGGACCACTAGCATATATTTGGTTCATCATTGGCCAAAACATCAATAGGCAGAGCATGACTATATAAGCTGAACTCTGAATTATTGCTAAGACACAGACAAAAAATACATTAATGGATGACTGTCGTTTGTTGATATCCAGAACACAGGATTTTCTCCAAAGGATGGCAGTAAGGTCCACACACTCCAATCTCCTCTGCTTTCAAATCCAGCCCCACCAAACCCTCCTGACTACTGGCTGGCTGGAACAGGAGTGAGGAGAGAGCCATGTTCATGTTATTACCTCTCCTCCAAGAGAGGAGTTCAGGATAGTCCCTCCTACATATACCCCTTGTGATACCATGGATATTAGTTTGCTATAACAAAATGGAATCAATTGGGTGGCTTGACAGAAATTTCTCTCAATTCTGGAGACTGGAAGTCCAGGATCAAGATGTCAACAGGTTTGATTTCTCCCGCGACCCTTCTCTTTGGTTAATAGATGGTTTTCTTCTCACGTGGCCTTTTTTTGTGTGCTCACACATCACTGGTATCTTCTTATAAGGATATAGTCATACTGGATTAGGGCCCACCCATATGACTTCATTTAACCTTAGTTTTGTTTTGTTGTTTTTGAGATGGAGTCTCACTGTCACCCAGGCTGGAGTGCAGTGGCACGATCTCAGCTCACTGCAACCTCCACCTCCTGGGTTCAAGCAATTCTCCTGCATCAGCCTCCCGAGTATCTGGGACTACAGGCACCTGCCACCATGCCTGGCTAATTCTTGTATTTTTAGTAGAGAGGAGATTTCACAATTTTGGTCAGGCTGGTCTAAAACTCCTGACCTCAGGCAATTCACCCACCTTGGCCTCCTAAAGTGCTGGGATTACTGGCATGAACCACCACGCCCAGCTTAGTGATCTATTTAAAAATCCTTCTTTCAAATACAGTTACATACTGGGGCACTGGAGGTTGGGAATTCAATATATGAATTTGGAGGTAACAAAACAACCCACATAAGAAATTCACATTCTTCCATTTGTTTATTTCTTTTAGAGACAGAATCTCGCTCTGTCGCCCAGGCTGGAGTGCAGTGGTGTGATTTCAGCTCACTGCAACCTCCACCTCCTGGGTTCACACCATTCTCCTGCCTCAGCCTCCTGAGTAGCTGGGACTACAGGCACCCACCACCACGCCTGGCTAATTTTTTTTTTTTTTTTTTTTTTTTTTTTTTTTAGTAGAGACGGGGTTTCACCGTTTAGCCAGGATGGTCTCGATCTCCTGACCTCAGGATCCTCCCACCTCGGCCTCCCAAAGTGCTGGGATTACAGGCGTGAGCCACCGTGTCCGGCCTCCATTTGGTTATTTCTAAAGGTTTATATAGCTCACTATGTCAACTACACTACCTACCTTTCTAAGTCATTAGTATACAAGAAGCCCCTTGAGTTCATATAGTTCAAGTTCCTCTTTTTAGAAAGTCACTCAGATAAGCTACTTCACCTCTCTTTAATGTCACACAGCACATTATCAGCTGACCTTTTTAAATAGTCTTAATTTCAACATACTTAGGGGGTATCCTATTTAGAAAAAGCTTGCAATGATTTAGAAGAAATTTAAAGACTGCATGCAATGCTCTCTTCTGTAAAGGATTTTTTTCTTCAATCATCATGCCTCAACTTAAGTATTTGTGTGTAAAGAGTAAGAGAGTGGGGCAGTGGATGGATTTGTTTTCTATACTAGAATTTGCCTACACTGAGGAATAGCTATGGTCAAACGACCCTTGCCATGTGTTTGAAAGGAACTCCTTTAATCACAGAGAAGCAATAAAATCAGAATGTAAAGAAATCTTCTGCCAAATGACCTGTTGAAAAGCAGCAACCAAGTTGACAACTCTCTCATGTCCTGCTAACTGACTAAAGAACTAAAAGAAGGCTGAGAGAGGGTGAGAGGTTGGGAGGTTACTGGCTGGGAAGGTAGAATGTCCCGAATGCAAAAGGTTTATTCCTAGAACAATCAGAGTCAACACCCAAGATGCGCCAGGTGACTTCAATATTTGGCACTGCTCCCCTTTTCCACAATGGGCAGCTAAAGATATGATGCCTACCCCCAAGAGGCACTAACCCCTCTGACATAGGCCTCGTTCATTTTGGGAAATGATTAGTTTAACATGAACATAATACAAGATCCTTGCAGCACCAGGGAGTACAAACTAAGTGGAGGTTCACAGAACTTGTTTTATTGATCTAGAGGTAGGTCAGCAAACTACAAACTGTAGACTGAATCCATCCTTCCACCCATTTTTTTGTTTTTATTCCCAACCTTTGAGCTGGAAAAGAAATAGCAAGGAAAATATATTTCACAACATAGGAGAATAATATAGAATTTAAATTTCAGTGTCTGCAAATAAAGTTTTATTGAAACATAACATACTCCTTTGCATCTTATCTAGGGCTGCTTTATTGTTCAATGGCAGAATTGAGTCATGTGACAGAGACCACATGGCCACAAAAAGCCTACAATATTTACTGTCTGGTCCTTTACCAAAAAGGTTTGCAGACACATGATGTAAACTTCCAAGTCCCCAAAGTGTATAAACCTTACATTTCAGATTTTAATATCTGCATATTTTATCCTGGAAAATCTTAATGACTAAGCAAAGCATACCGATTATATTGGTTGAGTCTGGGATCTTGTGGAACATACTAAACCAGAAAGATTACCACATTTAAATCACCAGAATACAGAGGTTTGAGACCAAAATCTTCTAAAGCAAGAGCTGCTTTAGAAGAGTCTGTTTAACTTCCAAGTGAGTACAATAACATGGCACCTGAAAGCATTCTAATGCTTAATTATTACACCTACATGAGAGTTGTACTAAAAACTCAGTTCACATTTCATCACATGGCTCTAAAACGAAGTTCCACCCCCTAAATCCATTCCCAATTTCTCGGTCACAACTTTCTCCTCCACCTCAAACAAAAGCAAAACTCTCAAGCTCCCAGAACCACCTTGTTTCAAGAGACATTGCAACAGAGGAAGACATCAGCTCAATTCTTTTTTTTCTCATCTCTTCCTGGCAAGAAACTGTTGCCTTGAGTTGAACTGATTAACTGGAATAAGCATTCTAAAAACCAGATAGGGCTGATTACAAAGGGAATTACTGACCATAGCTTCTAATAAGAATATTAGGGAAGTTTTTTCCATTTGTTTTTTGAGAGAGTCTTGCTCTGCCACCCAGGCTGAAGTGCAGTGGCACAATCTCAGCTCACTACAACCTCTACTTCCCCAGTTCAAGCGATTCTCCTGCCTCAACCTCCCGAGTAGCTGGGACTACAGGTGAGTGCCACCATGCCCATCTAATTTTTGTATTTTTAATAGGGACGGAGCTACACCATGTTGGCCAGGCTGGTCTTGAACTCCTGACCTCAAATGATCCACCCACCTTGGCCTCCCAAAGAGCATAAGGGAACTTAAAAGGACTAAACCTGAACGTACCTCCTCGCTGCAGATTGTGAGAACAATTCTCCAGATGAGCAGGACTGGTGACTGTCTTTTTATGATGATGTTCAGGATTCTGTAAAAACAACGGTCTTCATTCAGCAGTCTTAAACATCATAATGCAGAAAAAGAAATTAAACTAGATTAATTATTCAAAATCTTTGCCTGCTTCTTCACAATACCTCCTTTCCATGATGTGACATAGTTAACCGTCTTGAAATGAGGAGACCACCAAGTTCTTTTGCTAAATCTTAATCCAAACTGAAATTTCTTCACTGAAGCTGTACCCTTTCACAAGGAGGGACTACACATCATAGGGTACAGCCATCTTGGTTCAGTGCTTCATATTAACTGGGCTCAGGGATGGGCTCATGTGCTTTAAATGCAAAAGAATTCACACAGGTGGCAATCGTTAATTATAGTGCACATCCCACGAGCATGGACTTTTGACCCAATAGCAAATTAAAAGTAGATTGGATAGAAGTTCTGCTATAATCCAGGCCCATGAAGATTTATAAGAAGAAGAAGAAAAACAAAAAAACGTGTAAACTTCTTGGTTTCATCACTTTTTACATAATAAAACAAGTTCTAGGGTCTACTGAGGGATACCTGTAATTACTACCTCAGCAATTTTAGGGAAATATGACAATAGTTTCTAATCCTAACATTTTTTTAAGAAAACGAAGTCTTAGGTTCTAAATTGTCTTTTATTCAAAGAATATAATTTAGTTTTCTTAATTTCCTCCGGCTAGGGAAACCAAATAACTTGCCTTAGAGATCCTCTTTGATTAAAGTTTAACCATCACAACAAAATATTCCTTTTTGGCAGGGGGGGAGACAGCAATTTGCTGCTCTGTTGCTCAGGATGGAGCACAGTAGCATAACAGCTCACTGTGACTTCAAACTCCTGGGTTCAGGCTGTCCTTCCATCTCAGCCTCCCAAGTAGCTGGAACCACAAGCACACGCCACCACTCCAAGCTATTTTTCATTTTGTTTTGTTTTTTTGTAGAGACAGGGGTCTCGCTATGTTTCCCAGCCTGGTCTTGAACTCCTGTGCTCAATGATCCACCCGCCTTGGTCTCCTAAAGTGCTGGGATTACAGGTGTGAGCTACTGCACTGAAATCTAAACATCATTAGTTAAAGAGGAGTAACTAGTGTTGGTAGAATTTACAAGTAAAAATACAGGATGCTGAGTTAAATTTGAATTTCAGGTAAACAGCAAATACATCTTTAGTATATGTGTATATACCATGTAATATTTGAGACATATTTGTATTGGGGACCTAATCATGCTAAAAAATATATTTGTTGTGTATCAAAAATTCAAATTTAGCTAGGCATTCTGAATTTTATCTGACAACCCTAGAAACATCTTTAATTCAAAATGTTTCTGGGTGAACGAGCAGCGGGGGAAAAGTTTAGTGAGTGTGTTGTGCCTAATCTTGGAAGGTAGAAATTCTTAAAAACTTTGGAACAGACTCCAGTACTGTTAGGACTCTCAGTTCTCCCACCTGAGGAATGAGGGGTGTGAAGTATAAATGTTGCATGGGCCTGTAAGGAGAAATTTTAAAAAGAATGAAAGTCCAGTTTGGTATAAATGGCAACATGCTTGATTTTTTTTAACTTCTTTAGATTGCTTGTATATGAATCTTACTCATGAGCGTAATTAATTTATTAGTGAACTAAATGAATAAAAACTGGATGCTTTCAGCTCCAGTCATGGACCACAACATGAACGATCAGGTGTAGCTTAGCAACTCAATAATGAGAAGGCATTTTCTTTTCAGCTTTGGTGCATTTTCTCTACCAAATAAATCAATTTAAAGCTCATCTTGACACTCCTCCATCCCCCGCCCCCATCATTTCAATGTGAAAAGAGGAGACAGATTCAAGCAACTTAATCCAATTGCTTTTTCGAGATACAGACTCCTTAAGTATTGCCTCAGACTATGTCTGACCTCTTGAACTCACAGAGGGGAAATTAAGGCAGAAAAATCTAGCAGTTCAAATTGTTGTAGCTTCAAGACCTGATAAGATTTAATCTTTTTGGTTCCCTAAGGCAAATAAGGTTGAGCAAAATAACCAGAGAGTAACATGTTGAAGAATGGTTTAAGGACTGAAAATGGCCCCAAACACGGAGCATTTAGGAGGGTAGAAGCTACAGAAGTTCAAGGTTATTTAGTTACCAAAGCATAACGACATAAGTCAACGAATCGGGAGAGAGGTGTTGAGTGCAAAGCAAAAGAAAACTTAAATAGTTAGGTACAGTATAAGGAATCTTTTGCCTTGGATAACTTTAATTTCAAGGTAATTATGGTGGACATAATACCATATCTACCTCAGAGTTACTTTTATGCAGTGGGTCAGGACATGCTTCTAGTTCTTAATACTATTGATTGGCTTCCTCTAAGGAGTCCCCTGAATATTCAATCCAGGAAGCCTCGCCACTAAGTGACAAAACTCTCACTATAATCCCCAAGCATGCCATGGTAGGTCTAAAACCTGGCTCATTTTGGGGAAGGTCTTAGAGTGTCATGAATGAATTTTTATCCCTGGAAAATTCCACTGCTAGGGCATTGCAAATAATTTAAAAGGGATCATGGTACATTTATATGAGAAGAATGAAGATCCTCAAAATATTGTATATATTCAAGAGTTACCCAGGAAAACTTGTTGTAAATGCAGATTTCCAGTCTCCATCTGGAAGACTGAGACAGAATCTGCTGTGGTAGGTCTTGACTTTTCCGTTCAAATTTTTTTAAACAATCCATATAACATGTTTTGATTATGTCTTATGATCAATGTAATGTGCTAAGTGCTGGAAGTTTAGAATTTAAATATGTACATATTCCCTCTCAAAAGTGTATTATTTGATCATGTTTATTTCTCAGAGAAGGCCTATAGGGAACAGGTATACAAAAGAAAGCTGCGGTCCAAAAAGATACAGCATATACTAAAAGACACATAGCCGGTACATACAGAAGTCAAGTCTGCAACGAGGTAAGTTAATTAATTCATTATTTTTCATCTGTTTTCCAACTATTTTCCTGCCACGCCTGTCTATTGTGTTGCTGTGGCCTACTCACTGCCCTCTGAACCCACCAGACATACACTTGCCCCAGGATCTTTGCTGTTTTTCCTTCTCTCTGCCCAAAGTATTCTTCCCGTTATCTGACTTACTTCATTTCCTTCTGTCTCAAATCAAGTGTCACCTTCTCAGTGAGACCTTCTATGACCACATTATTTAAAATTACAGCCTTCCCACAGAGCACCCTGACCTTCTTTCCTATCTTCCCAGTCCTTCATGAAATGTGAAATTTAATGGATAAAGTGAAGACACTCCATCTTACAAATCTGACGTGTAGCATACTCATCACTTGGAGTGATTTACTTATATGTATACATCTAACAGTTTCTTGCCTGTGTCTGCTAGGATAGTAATTCTCAAACCTTAGCAGCATCAGAATTATCAGAAGTGCTTTTGAAAACACAGATTCCTCCTTCCCAGTCCCAGAGATTAGATTGAGGTCGTGCTAGTGGTGCCAGTCAGCAGATCATTTTGAGCAGTCTTGCCATAAGGCACTAGTTCTCATCTAGGGATGATTTTGCTCCCAGGGAACATTTCATACTATTCAGAGACATTTTTTATTGGTACAGCTAGAGTGGGGGAGCCACCTGGCGTCTTGAGAGTAGGGGGCTAGGAATGCTACTAAATATCCTATAATACACAGGACAGTAGTGAGGGAGTTGAGTAAACCTGTCCTAGATGAATGCTTCTTAAATGCTACTATGCATCAAGAAGAGGAGGGCTTATTAAAAGTCATATTATCAGATTGCACCTCCAGAGTTTCCGATTTGTTAGGTGGGTTCAGTGTGGAGCCTGAAAATTTACATTACTACTAAGTACCCAGGTGAAGGAAATGCTATTGGTCCAGGGCCAACACTTGGAAAACAATTGCAGAAGGAAAGCTCCACAAAGCAGGAATCATGGTCTCTTTATTCCTTCCCCCAGCAATAGAATATGGTACAGTATAGTCACTCAACTTTCTAATTGTTTAATAACAGCACTCACGTGATGCCATGCACTCACGTGATGATTCTGACACCAAGGATTCTGGGATCACACATTGAGAAACAAGAGTTGTTGTTTGGGCAGCAAATTTCAGATGCCTTCTATTCCTATTGACCCCTCAGCTCATTTACTACCAACCAAAGAAGTCTAAGGAGAGTTTGCGTGTTTGCCCCAGCAGGCCTAACAATCTGCCTGAGGGCAATGCTCAAATTACATCCCCACAGTAAGCTCTGTACAAAAGAAACAAACTGTCAAATGCAAGTCTCTGCAGTCTCTGTTTATGATGAAACTACAAGACCCTACAACCACCTGTCACACAATTCCCATTTTCAAAAAGGCCAGAGAATTTATTCACATATACAGACACACACACACACTTAGTTCTTCAGTCTGATCCTTGAGTGAGGTCTCTAGCATTGTAACATAATTGGGAATCGGTGTGTCTTGAATGTACTTGCGCTTCCATAACCACATCTCTGGCAGCTGTCCACTTTAAGATGGTATCTTCCAGGTGCGGCCAATTAACTCTCCTTACATCATTTTCTGGGGGAATATTAAATTCAGTTCCTTTTATCCTGTGCCCAAAGCCAACAATGAAGTAGTTGATCTCCGTAATTCAAACATGTCTGATATCTTAGATTCAATGGCCCTGTTTAAGACAGGCATTTAATGAAGAACTGGTGAATGAGAAGTTTAATGGCTAGAGTGAAGACACTCCATCTTATAAATCTCTTTTTACTCATGTGGAATCATCAGCCAGTGTTATTGATTTGCATTTACTGATTGGACTTTCTACTGTGTTCAGATGTTAGTATCCTCTGCTGGTGCCTGCAGGCTATTAGTTTCAGGGTAAAGCTTGCTGTTCTGAAAACCAACTTCTTCTCTACTGAACTGAAAAAGCTGAGGCATTCACAATGGCTCAGAGAACCCAACACATTTTAGAAAGCCGTAAAAAGTACTTCACTAGTTGTCTTTATTTTACAACAGTGAGAATTGACACAG